GGAGGTAGATAAAAGAAAAAAAGGTAGGGAAAAAGGAAGAAAAAGAAAAAAATGATAGCCCAGAACGCCTCAAATGTTATTTTCGGGCATCTAGAACACAAAAATTTCGCGGACCCCCTAGCACATTGTTCTTTTGATCTGCCCAAATCGGCCCCTCTTTCGCTCCCCATCCCCCTTTTCGACATCTCTGGATCCGGCCCTGGCATTCATCTTGGCGGGGAAAATGGTTATTTTTGTAATTATTACTACTACTATTGTATAAAATACAATCTCATAAAAGCAATGTACACAGATTATAGAATATATATAAGTATTATTATTTTAATAGTAGTATTATGCTTAGGGCCTATTTATTATTGTTGAAATCATTATTAATATTATTATTATATTATATATTACTACCGTATATTGTATTCTTGTTATTTCAAAAATATATTTTATTATTAAATGAATTACATTGTTAGTACTGTTATATAATAATATTATTTACAATATTTTTATTACCACTATTGATATCATTACAGTATTATCATCATCTGTCATCATCATCCTCATCCTATTCGTCATCGTCATCATCATTCTTATTGTTGTCATCATAATCATCCTTACTGTCACCGATCGTTGTAATCATCACCATCACATCATACTCATCCATCGTCATCGTCCTAATCTTCATCACGTCCTCATCAATTATCTATTGTCGTTATCATCATCCTCATAATCTTCATCCTCCTCATTCTTCATCATTTTCATCATTATCATCCTCATAATCATATTCATCCTCATCCATCATCATCCTCGTCATCATCAATGGCGTAGCCAGCTATTGGGACAGGGACAGTCCCCACCATTTTTCTTATGGGTCCACAAAAAAAAAATGGGTCCACATTTTAAAAATGGAACCAAATTATGTAATTGTATGCATAAAATGGATCCAGATTTCTCATATTTAGCTAAAAATGGGTAAAATTTAAGAAAATGGGTCCACATATTTCATATCTTTGCGTAAAATGGGTCCGGTCCACATTGTTTAAATTTACACGTAAAGTGGGTCCACCCTGATATTGTCCCAAACTGTTTGAAAATCCTGGCTATGGCATTGATCCTCTCCATCATCGTCACCCTCATCACCAATCATCATCACCATCAGCTTCATCCTACTAATCATTCTCATCCATCATCATCCTTATCCTCCTTATCATCATCACTCAATCATCATTCATCATCATTGTCCTCATTATCATCATTGTCATTATCATCCTCATTACAATCATCATCATCCATCATCATCCTTGTCCTCATCATCATCAACCACATCATCATTATCCTTATTAATCATCATTATCAATCATCACTCTCATCATGAAGATGATAATGAAGAGGAGGAGGAGGACAAGAATGAAGATGAGGATGAGGGGCAGAGGGGATGTTTCTCATCAATCGTCATCATTAACCTCATCGATATCATTCTCATCAATCATCCTCACCATTATCACGATCATCCTCATCAACAACCATAATCATCATCAACCTTATCTTTATCATCAAACTCTTTATCCTAATCCTCCTTATTATCATCATTATCCTCACCATCCTTATCAACATCATTTTCTTCCTCATCATCATCCATCATCAATCATCCTCTACCTCATAATTTTCCTTCTCATCAACCGCATCATCCTCATCCTCCTCATCATCATTCTTATCTTCATCACCATAATCATAATCATCATTACCACCATCCTCATTATTATCGTAATCCTCATCTTCATCCTGATTACTGTCATCATATCATCATTACCATCATCATTTTCATCATTATCCTCTTCATTATCAGTCACGAGGATGATGATGAGGACGAGAATGAAGATGAGGACGAGGGTGAGGATGAGAGGGATGATTCCCATCAGTCATCATCATCATCATCATCATTCTCATCAATCATTTTCTATCATTCTCATCACCATCATCCCAATCATTATCAACAACCATTATCATCAATCATAATCACCATCATCTTCTTCCTCACCATCATCCTCATCCTTTTTCTTCTCATCATCATCAACATCCTCCTTATAATGGGGATTATAGTGAGGATAGGGATGACAATGAGGAAGATGATGATGATAATAATAATAATAATGACATCAGTATAGTAAGAATAACAGTACAACGCTAATATTAAACGCATAGGAATAATGATATACTATATAAATAATATTATAAAGTAACAACATAATAGTTTAATAATGATGATGAAGAAAAATGTAGTGTAGAAAGATTAAATTTAAATAGGTAAACATTTCCTTTAATTTTGATTGTCGTCTTGGAATTTGGTGTGTTGACGTCATCTTCCAAATGTGCTTGGGAGGTGGGGAATTCCCGTCAGACAGGCCTAGACTCCCATCGTCCGATGCCACGACAAAGTCGTCACACCACATAGAATGATTTGCTTATCCATATAACATTATTCTGATTGCCAATCCCTAATATTTTGGCTTAAAAGCAAAATTTTGGGCCATACGGTACTAAGCTAAAAAAAACCAACTCTCCCATAAGCACAGGGATGTTTATTCCGGGACTCTGACCGAGGGTCTAGTCGGCCCTGTGTTTGGACCCACCCTATCAGACCCCCTGGGGCCGCCACTGAACGACTATAATGGGTATTTAACTACGGTCTGTCAGTTTATACAGTTATAGAAAAAAACCCCTAAAAGTGACTAAAAACATAAACATGTCTCCCATCCCCGATCCAAAAATTGGTATTTTAAAGCAAAATTTCACTATTTCGTTTATTCGTTGGGTTAACTTTGTATTAGTTCATTAATTATATAAAGGGCCAATATGTTTTTTTTTTATTCCTGTTTGTATAATATTGTATTGAGTTTGTAATGTACTTTGATAACAATAAAATTATTTTTACATTAAAAAAATTTTCTCACCATAATGAACGCCATCTTGGAATTTGTGATGATGACGTCATCATTCCGATCAAATTTTTTAATGAGAGTGATGAGTAACTATATAGCCAAGTTGTTGTTACATTTCATATCCACAGTATATATAAAAGTGACCAAAAACATTAATTTATTTCCCTTATACCCACATCTTAAATAGTTTAAAATAGGGTATTTTAGGCCAAAATTTCTAAGTGCTGTAAAAAATATTGCCCAAGCCCTAGGCATGGGGATTTTTTTTCCCGCGACAATATAGGGTATGCTAATTCAGAAAAATCAAAAATTGATTTTCTTTTACTTTTTTCCCGCTAAAGTTCATTTCAGCACTTTTACAACCTGGCTAAAACTGTTAACGACAATTGTTGGAAATTTATCAGCTCCGGTGTTTCAGTGGCGGATTCAAGGTGGGGCCCAGCCGGCACGGGCCCTCCCTATTCTCCAAAATATAAAAAGAAATAGAGAAAAAAAAATTATATTCATGTTCAAAGTGCAATATCTGGCATTCTAGGTACTCTGGTACCATAATTTTAAATTTTCTTACGTCACCCCAAACCACATGGTTGGGTTGAGGTAACACCTCAATCTGCAGGGCACCCTTCTATTATAAATTTCTGGATTCGCCACTGCTTGCGGGGGTCTACAAAATGTAAAGGGCATAAAACGTATTTCATCAGGCCCTTACAACAATGAATGAAAATTAAAATAGAATTAAGGGTTTCAAAATCTATTATATAATGTAATGCTCTGGAAAAACGAAGCTATTGTCGGACCTTCCACACACAAACCCCCAACGGGGCTCCGCTGCCCTGAACCTCCAAATTACTTAAAAAGGTCCATTTTAAAACTTTTCCTAATTATCGCAAAAGCTGTAGCTGTATTATGCATTGCATTTCATTCGCCAACTATCCTGTTTTTTAGTAACTGTGGTAACGAATTT